GAGAGAGAGAGAGGGAGGTGATTACGCGCATCTCGAATTTATGTACGATCGAAAGAACCTTGTGTCCATTTTTCGCGGACGAATTATCATCTCCGTGACACTTGGACTAGCACAGATTAAACAAGTGACATTGATCTGATTGATATTAATAGCGTAATGCTCGATCGGTGACTGCATCAGCTATTACAAGACGTTTAACCCACGCGTCCTCGGCGGCGCATTTGGATCCGTTGTTATGGATCACCGCCGCATAGATCATCACCGTTTTGCATTATGACAGCTTTTATCTCAGCCGCGATAATTATTTAGTTGACATGTTACTCGTTCTTACTACTCGTCAATGCATAAACGCAACATTTAACGAATATCCATGAACATCCGTTTTTGTCCTCTTTCATACTAAGTATCAAATGGATTTCGCCACCGACTCATCTAAGGCGTGATAGTATTATTATGTATTGTTTTTTTATATTAAATATTTCCATCGATACATTGTGCACGATATCTTTTTATTTGAATGTATGTTTAATTGAAAAAGATTAATTTAAAGATAAGTTAGTTAATCACTATAATAAAAAATTGATTAATACAATAATCTTCTAATACGTACATACACACACACACACACACACACACACACACACACACACACACACACACACAAAATAAATTAATTAAATATTTTCTAGATGTGTTTTCATTCGACACATAGTACTTTCATTTGATGTTTCTTCTGATTCAAAAGAAAAAAATGAATTGTTTTAATTAATTGTCTAAAAATAAGAAAATGTAATAATTATATAATTTATATCAGAGATTTTCCTATTTTCTTCTCAATTAAAAATAAACTGTTGAAAGTAAATATAGATATAAATAGTTTTTTGATACAATAAAAAAAATTTATAATTTAATAATAATATATTACTAGCTACTATATAGTATTGCTATATTAAACGTAACTTTTTCTTTATACTTTTCTTACTTTGTTAACTGATCTAGAAACAGATCTAGAACAGAAGATAATGCCAAGAGGATTAAATTTTATAAGCGCGACGATCGCTCGTGAATATCGCTAGTTTTATAATAGCGTGCCATCGAGGAAAAGCATGCAATTAATGATCTTTCCGCGCGCACGTTCGCGTAGAAACAATAATATTGACCAATGTAATTGATATGTGCGTCGTACGCGCGAGACCAAACTGGGTCAGCGAGATGTATCCACGAGGCCGATGACCGTCCTTGTGTATCAGAGTCCGCCTTCGATCGATCAATCGATCGATCGGGCTTTTCCTGACTTGTACGTCGCTTAATCGCTAATCCAACTAGCTCGCGCGGTTCCTTTTAACTATTATTTGTACAACGATAAAGGTAATCGACAATGAAATCGATCAAGTACGGGGAAAAGGAAAGCAATCTCGTAGCGATATTAGAGCTTCTCCATTTACAAATGACGGCGAAATAGCTTACGTCACACATTGACAGATGACTTATTTCACATTTGGTGTTACTATGTTAGAACCAACTAGAAATGTAATCGACTAGAATTTATCGCGAACATTGTGCATAAAAATGCTCGCTATCTCGTTGTCGTCGAATTTAAAATTGAAAATATGTGTTATCGTTCAACTATTTTTTTTCGACCCGATCGGTCGGTTGGCTCGTTTTTACTTGCGGGATTCCCCCGCAAAATTCATTGGTCGATTTTGTTGTATCAGCGTATCATCATATCGCGCGCCATAGTGCACTTCCGCAGCTAACGCACTCGTGACATTGACGTTGCTCCGCGTCATAGTTCCAAGGAGTCACCTTGAATTCCTATTTCGTATAACTCGTCGGTGTGTGCACAGATGACTAATAATATAAATCATAGAGTATGATGCGCGCAGTTTATCGTTATTCTCCTAGAAACGAGCGTGACTTTGATCAACGCGCTGCTTGTTCCCGCCGACTGTATATTCTACCATGAAATTTGATCAGTCATACACACACAATTCCTTTCACATAAAATATAAAATTCTTCTCACGTCAGCTTTGCTTGAAGAAAAATGACGAAATATGTTAGAAGTGGAATATATAGTCATCAAATCTTAATTTATGTTAAATGTTATATTTTTCCTAAAAATAAATTATAAATTAAAAAAATAGTCTCAAAGTAGTTATTTTTATTTGTTACATATTATTTTTATTTTATATATTATACATTATATATTATATTTTATTTTATTATATATTATATTTTTATTTATTATTATATTTTCTCTAGATAATCTTATCTCTAGATAATTATTTATCTTATAAAATATTTATTAATTATTAACTAATCTCTTTCTCTCTCTTGTCTATTAAAAGAAATATCAAAATTAATTACGGAGTTAAAAAGAGAGAAAAATATTAATTACAATAATTATCAATAATAGAAAGGAAATGTTAAACAATTTTATAGTGAAACGATTATAAGAGTTGCATCTTTCAATCGTTTTAGGTTCGCGTTTGTGTATGTTTATAACACATACACAATGTTGTAGTCAATTATAAGAGCAACGGTTTATGTTGTACTCTGCAGCGATGACAGAGAACTTGATAAGTGAATAAAGATTGCATACGAGATTTAAAGTTTGAGATAATCGATATCAAACTTCAACGATCATTACTCTCTTGGGTCTGCAGTAACGATTCCGGATATTCGAAAGGTAACGCGAAAAAATGATGCTAGCTGATTGTGATATGGATTGAGAACAGAAGAACGCCTTGACGCATCGATTACACCTGCATTTGTTTCAATCGATTTCAGAATGTGGTTTATTATAAAACGAAGCGGGGAAGGGGGGCGCTATTGTTAAATGTCAAAGCCGAGATGCCGTAAATGCCCGGAAAAACGCAATCGATGGCAAATTGGTAGTAGCAACCTTTGTTTGTGAAACAGAATACTACAAGCAGACTAAAGTGCATCCCTTTCTTACTGAAGTTTCATCGTAATTGCGTCCTGCGTTCTTTTTTCCAGTGAAAATTTTATCCGTGCATTTATATTGCCCTACGCGCGACGCACTTTTTTATAAAACTTTTTAAAAATAAAAAATGTTCAGTGCGCACAGTTTTAAAAAATTTTGAAGAATAAAAAATATAACTGCTTACTAAGAATAGACTTGAATCTACACCGTAGAAAAACTCGCGCATTAAAGCGAGTTTATTAAAACGAGATTCGTATTCTTTGTTCCAGTGTTCGACGCCTCGGTTAAAATACCATCGGGCATAATCACCGGCAATTACAAGCAGCTAGGTAATTTTGATGAATGCTTACAAGTGAAGAACGAACACGGATTCGTTGGTCAGGCTTGCAACACGGCAGTGCAATTCGAGATCGCAGCAGACAATGGTGCACCACGTGAATTAGATTTGGGAGATTTGTTCGTGAACGTCGCGATTGCATCGGTGAGTTCGTAATATCAATTTATTGCGAAGGACAATTTATGCAAGTAAAACACATAAACACGTAAACTTAAGTCCACAAGATTGGATAAGTTAATATTATTTTTTAACTAAATTAAATTAAAATTAAGTAAAGTGGTTTATAAAATTAATTTGGTTGCATTGAAATTAAATTAATCTAAGCTAATTTAATTTAAAAGTTAAGTTGGAAGTAAATTTTAAGAAGCATTATTTATATCAAATTAGAATGTCATAATTTTTTTAAATTAAAATATTCTAAATAACAAAATAATTATATAATATGATTATCAAATAAATTTAATATTTTATTTCTAAATTAAGTTTATATAAAATTTTATATGAAATAACAAAGAAATATTGCTTTTTTTATTTGGGAATGCGTTCTTTCTTTTACAATTTTTTCTTCTACATAGATACATTTTTAACCTAGGAGAAAAGTTAATAAATTAAATTTTATGTGTTTTAAAAGTAAGTAGTTGAAATTATACATTAATTCATTCAAAATTAACTAAGTTAAAAGTTTAAAATTAAAAATTATTAACTTTTTAATTTTATTAATAACTTTTAATTTCTTAATTGGTTACTTAATTGGTTACCCAACCTTGCAAAAGTATAATTCGATTATTCGCGATCTGTTAATAATTTTGAGTAGCATAGTTATTAAATAAGAAAAAGAATAAATATTGTTTAATTTAAAACGTATTACAACATATAGACATAATTTTTAATCTAAACGTGATTGTATTTATTCGTACGAACATTTGTACCAAACGAGTAAAATGGAACTTAATCTACACGATAAATGTCAAATGTAACAGATAATAGCTCCATGTACTTTTCAAACAATACAGTACATATCTATGCTCTTAGGGTTAAAAATATAAAAAGGAAACTATAATGGGAACCAAATATATTGTAATCTTGTGGTATAGAATGCATCAAAATGGACCTCTGGTACTACGGTAACATACGAATGGATGTTTTGCGTTCCATCTACTTGCAATCATACGGAAATACAGGAAGCCCTCGAGTTCGCCCTCGATCCATTAAAGGTAGACGGGCGAGTAGAGATAACTATCAATGTTACTAAGAAATCGTGTCACACTGCGGAGACTGTTAAAACAACCTGGGATATTTCTGATTGGTGTTACACGTAAATAAAGTCTTTTATCATGTAGAAATTTATTCATAAAAAGCAATCTTAATTTATGTAATGTTTGAAAATTTTAGATCGATTCTTGTACTGTTCGCAATAATCATTATAGCTTCTACGACATATGAGATTGCAGCCCAACGGTGGGCTATTACATCGGAAAAGAGTGGTATGTGAAATATAAAATATAAAGATACGCCATATTATTGTCATTTAATTGTCTTTGGACTAATCCTTCAGACATTTTTTTACATTTCACGCAACGAAGTTGAATACATGTACATGAATATATATATATATATATATGTACATACATACATATACACACATATATTTTATATATGCACACACACACACACACACACACACACACACACACACACACAACAATTTCATTAATAATCAATAATATTATTTTAAAAATAATATGTGAAATTGTGAATTTCATGAACTTTAATTAGACCTTAATATAATTAATTTCAGAATTTAGTAGTCTTTTTCGTGAAATTCAGTAATCTTCTATTAACTTAAATTCAATGACAAACACAGGCACACGCACACGCACACGATACATGTAATATAATACATAATATTAATTTGCATTGTATATTTTATGCATTCACTATGCAACATTATACGTTTAATAAAAAAATGCGAAGGAATTTCGCTAATATTTCACTGGAATTAATAGCGATAACGATTCCTTATCCGCAGGTATTTTGACAGCATTTTCTTTATACAAAAATGGGAAGGAATTAATGCAGACCGAGAGACGTCCAGGATCTATTCGCTGTTTAGATGGCTTGCGTTTCATTAGTATAGCTTGGATTATTTTCGGTCATACTTACTACATGGAGACTGTTACTGTCAAAATGAACCTTACTCATATTCCATATGTGAGTATCTATTAATATCATACAGTTTTTTACATGAGAATTGATTAGTTGCTTCTCTTCTCATAACTTACATTATAAAATTTATTACTTTCACATTAAGTTCAATTAGAAGTCACATCTCTTGTACTTCAAAACTTCATATCTGAATATTTTCTCGATTATGTAATTATTTTTATCACCCAAAAGATGCATTATGATTGGATGAATATGCTGGTGCTCAACGGCAACATCGTTACGGATACTTTCTTTCTTCTGAGCGGGACTCTGCTCGCTTACACCGAACTGCGGAAGAAGGAACGACGTTCCTCGAAATGGCGTTTCGACGTGATAGGACTTTATATTCATCGTTATATAAGGTACGCATACACATACACAGCCAAACTGGCTTTTCTCCGGTAATCACCGGTAATTTAAGTCTTTTTAATTTATCTCAATACATTCATAAATTATACGCAAGAGTTATAAGATACGCGCGCTTTAAACAAATTATATAACTAACTTTTATTTTCTGTTCATATTATTTGATCTATATCTTTTTTTATCTTTTCAAAATATTGATAATTTCTTCGTCTGTTAGATTAACGCCGGCCTACGCAATGATGATCGGCTTTTATGCCACTCTGTTGTACAAATTTGGCACAGGCCCGCGCTGGGACACCTGGATCGGTTCCAATAGAGACTTCTGCCGCGAGAAGTGGTGGATCAATTTGCTCTACCTTAACAATTACCTCAACGTGTCAGACATGGTAGATTAATATAGACTCTCGATTAATATAGACTTCTTTATCTACTTATTCCATTCCTACGTATCTTTACATTATCTACCGTGCTAAAAATATCGTATTACAACAGTTGTGTGTAATCATTAACCATTATTTTATGTCCAGATAGTGGTAGATGATATCTTAGAATTTATATAAATGCTATTTATTTATTTTTTTTATTACAATATTATTATTTACATTTTTCTTTGGTTTGGATTTACTAAGTCTATTACTAAGTCTATTTACTATATTTATTTTGCGTTTTCCGACGTGCTCTGAATTTCTCTGATTTGCGTATCTTGCGCGAGATACATCTTTCTTTTTACGTTTGCTTCTAGTGCATGTCCCAATCCTGGTATCTAGCGACCGATATGCAATTTGTTTGGCTGTCGCCGATTATATTGTATCCTATGCTCAAATTAAAGAGTCGATTTTTCATCATTGTTTTGACTATGTTCTTGATTGCTTCGGTCCTAGCGCCATTCATTACAACTTATACTCTTCAACTTATGGGCACCATGCTTTATTATAAAGAGTGAGTGTAGAAATTTAAATTGTTGTTCAGTTCAAAGATATATTTCACTAGTTTTAATTTGAATATCTTAAAAAAAATCTATTTCTTAAAAGTCTAATTTCAAATATATTTTATTATAACTTTATTTAGTTGCATTTCATATAATGTTTCTTCGAATATCTAATTTTAATTTTTCATTTTTTTTATTTAGTTTAAATATTTTATGTATTTAGTATTTAGATCCAACCCACAGTTCTTTTTTCTATGGGTTTTCTTTTCTTATATCATGCGGCATTCGCGATTATTAATTATTACTATAAAAATTAATTATTACTATAAAATACTATAAAAAGATCGTGTAACTTCAGACTATTTTAAGTTTATGTTTGTTTAAAAGTGGAAATTACATGACGCGGCACTTCTTAATTACCGGATTTCAATAATTTTGTGATCTCAACAGGATGTTGTGTTTTGCAGACAGATGGACTTAAATCAAGTTTTCCTGGAGATCTATATAAAGACATACAATAGATTTGGATCTTACGTGGTCGGAATAGGTCTCGGATATGTGTTATATAAGACACAATCTTATCCCGTCAAATTACGTATTGTAAGTATGTGTATAATTACCTTCAGCATTTTCATACTTCTTTTATTCAATCTTTATTAATTTATTAGTTAATTTATTAATATATTAATATATTAATAATGATCTATTAGGGACATCCATAAGTCATTTTTTGACATGCAAAATTGTATTTTATTTAACATTTAGTACAGACTAATCTACAACAGAATCTCCATCACTATTGATATTCTTTTTCCATCTTTCTAACAAATTTTCAATTACTTTCTTGTAAAATGAGAATGATTTCGTAGCAAAGTATTTTAGATTTTAGTCCATCGGAAAGATTGAAATCATTGTTTTTAAATTTTTTAAATCAACGCTGGCATGCTCTGATATTCAAGGCACTAGGATGAAGCGAAATTAATGGCAATTTGTGGCACTATTATGTAGTATTATTATTTTTCGAAACTCATCATTCCAATTCAAGCATCAAATATCCAATATGCATATCCAATATGTTATCTATACTTTGACCTTCCATTCTTATCGATACACTCAAATTCTTTCAAAATTTTACGATAAGTACTAAATATCAAATATAAATTTATTTAATTACTATAGGTTATGTAATAATAAATCACATTCATGAACAAGATAGTAATGTTTACTCAAGAAAAAAACGACATTACTTATGAGTATCCCTAATATTATAATTGCGAAACTAATATTTACATCTAAATAAAGAAAAATGCTATAAAATATTGTATTTTTTTATTACCCATAGTGGTCGGTGGTTCTGGGCTGGATAGTCGCAATTGTGGCTGGTTTATCGGTAATTTTCGGATCGCGGAACATGTACTTCGACACTTACGTATATAACAGATTAGAGGCAAGCTTGTACGCAGGTTTACATCGACAGGTCTTCGCGATTTCAGTCTCTTGGATCATTTTCTGCTGCGTGCATGGATACGCAGGTAATCATCGCACGCGCTCGTGAGATAATTACTCAACCGAATTACGTCAACGCCAATCTTTAAAGTAAATCTTTAATTGTTTCTTTCTTTCAAGGTCTCATCAATCATCTACTTTCTTGGCGTGGATGGATATCGCTCAGCAAATTGACCTACTGTGCTTATCTTTCTCATTTTCTGTTCATATTATCAGACGCTGGAGCTGTTCGGACTAGCGGCAATTTGACATTGATGAACGTGGTGAGCAAAAAGCATGGTGATAAAAACATTTTTTAAAACATTGTTGCATTTTAGCATCAGAGTTTATATAATCATGTATATAACATTTATATCACTTATATTATCACTTTCTGCTTATCTCATACGAGAGATGTTGCATGAACTTTTTAATTATAAAGCAAATGTAATGAGAAAAAGATAACGATAAAACTTTTCATTTAGACGCGAGCTTTCTTCGCCAATTTGGTGTTCACATTGATATTATCTGTGGTATGGAGTCTCTGCTTCGAGATGCCCTTCATAAACATTTCCAGTATTATCTTCGGACGCAAACGAAATTTATCGAAGCACTTGGACTGTTCGACGGCATCTGCCAAAGAGATTTGTCAGCCAAAAAACGAATCTTCAGTTACGAGTGATCCTGTAAAATACGATGTTGCCTGTTGCGATCTAGAAACTGTTGGAGAAAAAGGTGAGAATGGCATAAAATATGTCAATGGCAAGGTAGAACAAAGTATCGATAAAATATACATTGTTACTCCTATCAAATGCGATGAGACATGCTCGGCTGTGAATACTAATAATGCAACAACAAATTCCTATACCAACGTCGATTTATACTATGGTATCGAACAGCACGAACGAATAAATTCAAATGAGAAAGAATCAGAATCGATTGATATCGATCTTGTCAACAGTTCAGAGGAATCAAAGGAATGCTTGAGGCATAATTAAAAAATTAAATTTGATGGATTTATAGATAAATAATCCATATTCCATTATCGAATAATCCATTAGATTAATTCAATTAGATTTAGTCGATGATTAATTATTTTATTATATTATTATTATTATTATATTAATAGTTATTATGAGACAAATTGTGATAACGTACATACGTTGATTAAATATATTCATTTTTAGTAGGAAAGAATAAAGCAAGATTGTAAGAGTGATACAATATTTTATATATTTAGAATTTTATATAAGGAAACAAGTGGATAAAAGAGAGAAAGAGAGTTTGTTTATATTTTATAGAATTTTATGAATTTTTATGCAATATAATTTATTATTAAAATTTGTTTGTATAATTATATACTATATATACTATATATATATACTATATAGTATATATATACTATATATACTATATATACTATATATATATATATTGTTTATATAATATATAAACAAAAATATATAAATATACACTATTGGCAAAAAAATTTGAATACACTTGCAATTTTCTCGCATCTCATGAAAAGTTAAATATCTTGGAGAAAAAAAATTGCAGAGAAATTTTTAATCATGTATTTTAAAGACCAAAAAATATTTTTACAAGTCGAAGACATCTTTTTATTAATTTACTTATTGTCTTATTTTATAGAAAATGTATATACGCGCGCGCGCGCGCGCGCGCGCGCGCGCGCGCGCGCGTGTGTGTGTGTGTGTGTGTGTGTACATATATGCACATCTTCTATAAGAATAAGATACAATAAATTAATAAAAAGGTTGCCTCGATTTGTGAATATAGTTATCAAAATGAAAAATAGATTTGATGATAAAAAAGATTGATTTTTTAATAAAAAGGCAGTTTAAAATCGTATCAATTTTTTCTAAAAAGAAAAAGCTTAAAGCTTAGAAAATTCTTTAAAATACTTTTATATTTATATAAAAATTATTTTATATAAATTTTGTCTGATAATGTTTGAAGCGCTGCAACGCTTTAAAATAAAATGAAAATATTGCGAAAATTATTTATTTTAAAATTTATGTAACTTAAGAACATAAAGGAAAAATGTCATCAAAATCAAAATTCAAACATAGATTTAAAGCGCTGTCTTTGATTTTTAAAGTGTGAGGTTGAAATTTTCTCTGTGATTTCTTTTCACCGAAATATTTAACTTTTTATGAGACGCGAGAAAATCGGAAGTATATCAAAACTTTTGACCGGTAATGTATATTATACAAACAAAAATAATTTATAAAGATTAAGGATATTAATAGATACATAATTGCGAAAACATTCACTAGATAGAAAATTAATCATAATATACTTTTATTTAATAATATATAAAAAAATTATTATTTTATTTTGTTGATTTTTTATTTTATTGATAGTGATTATTGTGATAAAATGAAATAATACATTGTTGTTAATAAGTATATAAATATATTTTAGATTATATGTAAAAGAAATGTTTGCAAAGAGAATATATAATATATATTTGATATAATAAGCGTGGAGTTGTGCCGATTTATTAATGTGAACTTCAGTATTAATAAGTTAGAGTTAAAGTTAAAGATTTAATGTTAGAGTTAAAGTTAAAGATTTAATGTTAGAGTTAAAGTTAAAGATTTAGTGTTAGAGTTAAAAAATGTATTTTACCTCACATTACGGAAATAATTTAAAAACTATTAGAAAATATATAAATTAAAGTTTATAAATTAAGTATTATAAAAATAATGAAATAGTCTTATTCTCTCTTTCTCTCTCTCTCTCTCTCTCTCTTTCTCACACATAAATATCTTATTTTTATTATAGAATTATTTTAGCGTAATTATATACTTACTGTGTAAGCTTTTAGATTAGGAAGATATTATTTCTTTGTTTCGTATATTTCATGAATATATAATTGTTTATCTAAGTGAAAAATATTCATTGTTATTTGCGAAGAAAAGTAGATTAATGAGAAATCTGTTCACGATATGCCTTTTTGAATTGAACGAATCGTGAGACGAATCGATCGGGCAATTCTAAAGTAAAGTTTATCATCAACAATCAGCGTCGTTGTTTATTTAGGCCAACTTTACCTCTCACATTTCCTTCTTTCACATGCGTTTAACGTGGACACACGTATTATATCCTTTGAGAGAGGAGTGATCTATCCGAACAGATTGAGCATGGCTTAACGGTCTGAAACTAAGCCGAGAAAACAATGCAACGTTTGTGCGGAGTCTATAGAAGTAATTGATACCGCGACTCGATTGAGATGACGAAGAAGAAATAAAAAATTTTTTTATACATTTCGAAACTTTTACTTTTTCGAAAAGAAATATTGCCGTTTGATGTAAAAGTGGATTCTAGAAATCAGTGGATAAAAATGTGATTAAATGGAAAAAAGCGAGAAAACAACTGTGGTACATATATGTGCGAATTTGATGGTATTATTAGCGAGCGAAGGGTTGACATGAGTGTCAGGCATACACGTGCGAAAGATACCCCAGGGACGCATTTCGTTACCGTGGGAAAAAGAAGCGGGGATTTTCAGGAAGGTTTTAATACGCATTTAATCTTAATCTAATGCGTTCGAAAATTTCTCAAGGTAGTTTGATATAAATAAATATTATTAGTTAAATAAACGTTATTTAGAAGCTTATTTTTTCCTCCCGAGTGCGCAAAAAAATTATAAAACTAAAATATTATTGCCCACTTTACAGAAATATATTTCTTGTTAATTAACTAATTAAATAAATCAATTTTTGAAGTTGTATCAATAATATAAAGTAAATTATACACATATGACATAATATTTCTTCTCGCGCATATTCACTTTTCATTAAAGGATTAATGCTAAAGCAATCAAAATTGATTGCATTGTGCCTTTGCTGACGGAGGCACGTGCATTTCGTAATTGCGGAAAAATCGACGGCATATTGCGTAAATTTAAGGGGCTTGTGCCAGACACGGGGCACAGGATACGGTAGCGAGAGGCATTGCCCCGTGTTGGCACCCCGTGGCGACAAACAGAGGGAATAGATTTCATCCGGATCGTCATCCTCGGGGTAGCAAGTGGTCGACATCTGCGTGACCGTCGTTTCTTCGCAATGAAAACGTAACTATGACGGTTATTGCCAAGGGGGTGAAACATTTGCTTATTCTTCTCCAAGTTCTTTTTCCCTCGTTCACTCTTTTTTTTCACGCGTTATTAGCATACACAATGAGACGTGTAAATGAAACGGCAGGAAAGCATTATATTCTCGAAATAGATGATATATTTTGTGTCATAGATGCATGTTCTTGATTTATCATAATTAACGTAATAATAAGTTGGGATAAATTTCAATCTATCTTGATCTATCTTTATGACTTCGGTCTAATAGATAGATCAAATAGATAGAAATTATATTATAAGTAATCTAGAATTTATAATAATAGATATGATTTTTAAATAAACATAATTTATAAAAATGTAATTTACAATAATAAGGCTAATGAGAACCAGCACTAAAGGGTGTGCAAATTATATGTTTAATCTTAACTATATTTATTAATAGAAAGTTACGTAAACGTAAAATTTCTATTTATGTTTACAGATTATTTTATAATTAATAAAATTCTGCTTATAGTTATAAAAGTGACTTAGATGATCTAAGATATATTTAATTATTAATATAGTTGTGCATAAATTGGTTGAAAATATGAGATAAAAATTTTATAATTTTGATAACATAAGCATTGTCATATTTTTTCTTAAGTCAAAGGTAAGTTCAAGAATTTTGTTTGAAAAATTGCGCGATTTTAAGGTAACGGAAACGGAAGTAATTACGAGCGTCGCGACTCTGTTCTTCAATTTCGACGACACGAGACTCTTCCGTCGGAACTTGTGCGAAACGATCCGGGATCGTTTGGAACAAAATAGTTTCGGCGACTTGGCGCCGACCTCCCCGGACGATCTGTGTCCCAGTAACCTCTGTGAAGAGGGTGCTGAATGTTTCTTTTCGGCATCGAACAGAACTAGCACGCGTCGCGCGTCGCCGTCGCACCCTGCAATAAAATGTAACCGAACGCGCTAAGACAATGGAGTCAAAGAAGCCTCCGTAATTCCTAAATGTCTCCTCGGCACGCGGCGCAAGATGTAGGGAGAACATATCCTGGTGAGGGATATCTGGCACGCATGTGGAGCTTTTCTACTTTCAAAGCGCGCAAGATTTTTTGATGCGATATCATGCACAAGAGTGAGATTTTTGTTGAAAATAATAATGACAATAAAAATAAGAATCAACAAGGAACGAGGATAATTTTAGGATAAATTGAGCTAGGAAATTGCTAGGAATTTTCCTTTCAATTAAGAAATACCTGTTTATTTTAAAAAATAAGAAAATCATTTTTATTTTTATTTTGTACAATTAGTTTCCTATAGCTTAACATATATTATTAATATGTTAATTATAAATTTTAATATAATTAGAACAGAATTGCTTTTCAGTGTACTTATTTCTGTATTTTTAATTTTTGTTAATCTTTCAGAATAATATCTTTCTTGAATGTATCACTATTTAAAAATTTTGAAGCTGAATGTTTTTTATTATAAGTTGTTTCTATGATGTTTATTTTTTATAATTATACTTTCACAATTATATTATTTTTTCGATTTCTTGAATCGCAAGTGAATGAGCACACGAAAACATTGATTCATTTAAGGGGGGACAAATCGGCATTTAGTGCGAGAATGAAATACGAAGAGAAAGGCGCCTATAAAAAGACACTCAAGTGGTTGCATATGAGGGCGAAGCTTTGCGGCTAGCTACGTCAACGATTGTCCTCGCTTTCTTTTCGCCTTCGTCCAAATGTCGAAGGAACTCGTAAATCGTAAACGCAAAAGAAGAACGAGCAAGAGATTTGACAATGAGGATATGCCATTGGCGCCAGGAAGATGACCCAGGCGTTAGCAGGAAAGCGATATGTCTCATTTTCCGCGTTATTATTTCCCACTTATTTTTCAGCCTTCTCAAGGCAAGTTGCTGCAGTTTGTATTTGTATTATTTATAGTTGTACTCTATTATTCTAATACTCTATTTTATATATATAAAAAATATACATAATATATGTAAATTCTATTTAAAGTATTTTGAATAAAAGTAAGATTTTAAAAGTTAGAGAGAGATGAAGTATATAGGAACTTTCTTTCTTTCATTTAATTCTGCTTCTTGTCTGTATAAAGCAATGTT